ATTCTGTAGAATGTTCCGCCCAAGTTTGGAAAGGATCCTTGAGCGGTGCGGAAACGTATAGCACGGACACACATACACACACACACACACACAGAAAATCTCCAATTTATAGTAAGATAGAGTAATATTGGCGCACTTTTTCAATGATCAAAACACGATAAAGTTGAATTTGAAGCCGTTTTATTTAACACTGGTGTACCGATACCATACCGCTGTATCGATCGACGTCACTACTCACTACCATTAACCAATATAGTACGCGTACTTGCCCGCTTGCGCTGTGGCGCAGTGGTAGCACGCTTGCCTAATACGTTAGGGGTCGGGAGTTCGAAACTCGATAGCCGCGGAAATTAAAAAATATATATTTCACGGCAGGTGCGCAACTTCTTTCTGTCATCCTAAATATATGCATATTTAAAATATATTTAATTTAAAATGTATACTATAAAAGGGAAGAGCACACGCACGCATACCCGAATGATACTAATTTACCGCTTTTGATCCAATCTATGTCCGTGACTATCGGGACGCGTGACTAATGCGAGCATTGAATACACAGCGTTTACCTTGCCGCAAATCTCGTCCAGTTCGTCTGCATGTCCCATGACAGCGATAGTGTCACGTACGACGCATCAGCGACGTATCATTCCTACAACGATGCTAATTGGGATGATTCCTTAATACTACTGTGTTGTAGGGTTGCGTGCTACCCCCACATTTACGAAAATGACATAGGTCTCAATCTGGACATCATCTCTATCCTTGAACCGTTTAATCTTTACTAGAGCAATACCCGTGCACAACGTGGAGAATATCCTTAACCCGTGGTGTTAGCTATACATGTACACTCTAATACGCCGACTCGCGCTATATGTATGGCCGCACAAGTTGTCTGTAATAGCACGACGTGTTAGTACCACTGATCTCTATATTATAGAGATCAGTGGTTAGTACGGTGTTACTCTTGCGCCAATAACGATGCCGTGATTTACCCCAAGCAAGCGCCCCCTACAATTCCTGCGATGTGGCGCCATCTGTTATGAACGAACGTAGTCGCGGTGGATTTCACGCGTATAGGGCCTAAGTGGCTGGTGTCTTCTCGACATAAAACCTGCATCAAAGTATAGAAACGTTATTTCGCCTTTTATCGATCATTCTTTTATGTAATTATAGGGATACCGCTATATTGGTGAGCTGAATTGTCCATCCACCTAATTTATTTCATATCATAGCTACTAGCTCTACACTTGTGATTTCAATAAAACGTTTTTTATTTGCGATGCTGGTCCTACGCTGATGCTGATCTTAATTACGGGCGGCTAATTAAACCATGTGCAGGATAACGGTAGGTTAAATGTATTTGGCTCTATTATTTATTATATTAATGTAATGGATAATTATTTGCACACGCACATTGCTACTTTTCTCAAAAAATCTAGGGGGACAGGTGCCTCGTTGCCTCGACAGCTAGAGAGGTAGCAGTCAATAAATCTTCGTTATGCACCCGAGCGTCATTAAAGGTTTAAAAGAAGCGACACAATTGATTAATTATTGATAATATTATTTATTACATATATATATTCATGCGTACACTGGTGACAGGTTCCATCTGCTACATCCTAAACCTGTCACAGAGTATAATTCACGACAATCATTGATAGTTTTCACAATAGATATAGAAGAAAAGCTGATCCTTTTCTATATCTACGCATTTACTCGCTATTTCATCGACACACAGTTTACATGTAGAGGGCAGCACATGACAGTACGTGACTGACGCGTTACCCAGCAGCAACAGAATCCGGTCCATCCCCAACCATTAACTCGCGTTTTGAATACATCTCGCTCTATCGAACTTAAACTAGCTATAATGACTGTTTCCCATCTTGTTGAGATTTGGAGTAAACAGCGTAACACCTAAAATCCTCGAACATATATATAATTCACTTATACCGCAATGTATAGGCGTTTAGCATACGATACCTAGGTAATAGACTGTGAATTTCTATTACTACTATATTCAAATAATAAGTAGTAATTCTCCTGATAGTGGAGGTCTATCCTTAGAAAACAAAAGACGCTACTATTTTCATGGCTCTTCTGTACTAATAGTTGCCGAGTGAAGGGCTGTTACGACAACACTGTGACAGCTGCAATAACCACAACATTAGTGCTTCTTTAGCAACATGGGAGGACGCATGGAAAAACATCAACATTGTTGTTGCGATATCATCCCTATGACTGTTGCCACGCAACCACGCGACTTCACGAATAGTAACCACGTGATAAGGGGGGCAATTTCAACCACATGGCAAGCTATCCATATGTGCACCAAACTCCTTACATGAAATATAGACA